AAAGTGAACAAAACAAATGACAGTACCTTTCCCTTGTGGAGATTATATTCTAGCAGAGGTACCCAGACATAAATAAGTGATCTAGTATAAGTGATACGTGCTTGGGGGGAAACAAAGAGGGAGTATAAGGAAAATTATGGGTTACAAACATGGTCAGAGTTTGCTGAGAAGATGACGTTTGAGCAGCGGCTTAATTTTGTGATGTCTGATAGACATCAAAGATGTACAAATCTGAGTTCAGGAAACAGGACTAGAATGGAGATGCAAAACTGAGAGTTGGCGTATAGATGAAATGTAAGCTGTAATACAGAGTGAGATCACCAAAGGAGTGATTGTAGATAAACCCAGACCAAGGACTAAGCCCGGGGGTTTGCAACATTAAGAGATAGGAGGAGACTCCTCCAAAGGACTAGGGAGGCATGGCCAGTGAGGGAGGAGGAAACGAAGAGCTTGGGTCCTGGAAGCCAAGTGAGGAAAGTGAATCACAGAGGAGAGTGCTGCTCCAGGGTAAGTCAAATGAGTGCTGAGAATGGGTGACCTTGATGAACAGTTTGGTGAAGTCATGGGCCTGATTGAAGTGAGTTTAGAGGATATGGAATGACAAGAATTGGAGAAATGGAGGTGGTGGAGAAATGGGATCGAGAGTTTTTGTTTTAAAGGGAGACAAAGAATAGTTTCTTTGCTGATGAAAATGATCCAGTAGAGGGTGTAGGAGGAGAAGGGGGAGAGGTGCTGGAGCAATAAAGAGGGGGCAGGCTTTAGCTAGGAACACAGAGGGTTTGTGGTAACAGGCCAGGTTTAGTTGCAGGTAGGTGAGTAGGTGTGGTAGTCAGTGGATCTTCTCTCTTCTGATTGTTTCATTTGTTCTCAGTGAAGTAAGAAGTAAGATCGTCAACTGAGATTGAGGATGGGGAGGTGATATTAGAGATTTGAGGAGAGAGGAGAATGTGGAAAACAGGAGAGGGGGAAAGTAGCAGAAAAGGTCCACTTCAGGTTCAGAGTCATGAATTTAAAGTGAAACCATCAGCAGGGGTGAGTGTGTGTGTTTTCAACCAGATTTAGCTGTATAGGTGCTGGTACAGAAGCAAAGCGGAAAATTGTATTTAAGCTAAGTTTGTGGGTCCGCCAAGCTAGTATGATGAAATGAAAAGGGGTAGGGCAAGGGATTGGAGAGCAAGGGAATGGGTTTGACTCTGGAGTTCAAGTTGTTTTTTTGTTGAGTTCAAGTATATTCTAATGTAATAATTTTTGTTTAAAAATAGCATGTTATAATATCCAATTTTCATTTAAAAAATCTCTGTTCATTCTTTCTTCCATCATTTTATTTATAAATATGCATAGAGAAATGTCTGAATGTTCTATATTCAGAGAAATATCTGTATATTCTGAGAAATGTCTGTAAATGTCTAAATATTCTGAGAAGTGTCTAAATTCTATTGATAGTTCGACGTGGTGGGATTTTGAGCACATTTTATTTTCTTTATACTTTTAAAATACTTTTCTTAAATAATCTGTATAATTTCTACAACAAGTAAAATATATATATATATATTTAAAGCAAAGTTGAAGAAGCATAAAAGTATGGAAATAAAAACATTGTTTAAGTTCAGGGCACATGGGATAGTGTGGGAGCTGCTGGGGGAGACAAGACTGAAGGCAGAAGGCAGTTCGGTCAGAGGTTGGTTGCTATACTGTGCAATTTGTATTTTACTTTGTAGGAAATGGGGCACCATTCTGTGCTAGAGAGTAAGGTGACTGGATATTTGTTTTAGGAAGGCTGACTGAGGGCGGTGTCTAGGGGTGTTTGGTGGGAAACCTGGGGAGAGAGAGATCAAATGGTAAAGATGTCTCTTTTTATGATGTTAATTTAGACAAATTGAATTACACTGCAATCCAATACCATGTATTTTCCTATCTTGGCAAAAATTATAATGAAATTTGTTTAGAAACTTAAAGACGTGAGAATAACAAAACAATGTTACTTATTTCATAAGGTTGTTGTGAGGAGTAAATGGCACATTTTAAGGGCTTAGCATCATGCTTGGCACGTGGTATGTAGTCAGTAAATGTTGGTTGTTATCATTATCTATCACGACTACCATCATTCCTTATTATATGGATTCTCCATGAAATGTTCTCCATATCAGCTTAGTTTTGCTGATTTTTAATTAGATCAACATTCCTTTAACAGACAGTTGAAGTGGTGCCTCCCCTCCCTGCCCCCGGTAATTTTTCTTTTCCAGAAACTACTGGGCTTTCCGAAATCATAATGAACTATATTTTTCGACACCGTAGTATCTATTAGCATTGCAAATAACCATCCCCTGATTTTCAGTCTTCAGGGGATTTTACTGAAGCTCCCTTGAAGCAGGATCAAGTATGCCTATATTTTGCTATTACTAATGAGATCGTTGATAAGTCAAATTTTCCTTCAGTTTTGAAGTTTAAAATGCTGGATGAGATGTAAAGATTATTATTATATATGGCCTGAGGAAACTGTGATGGCAATTTTATCTTAAAAAACCCAATAAACTGGGAAGGAGATTTACTAACATAATGATGGGATCTCTGGTTGGTGGAACTATTAGTGATTTTTTTTTTAATACTAAATTTTATACAGTGAACATACATTTCTTAAAAAATCAGAAGATAAAAATAAAGGCCTGGGTTCTAAAGACAGGCACCTCCTCACTCTCTCTCCCGCCCCTCACTAGTTCACTGACTTTGGGCAAGCCACATACCATCTCAGAGCCTTTCTTTCTTTATCTGTAAAAAGTGAGAATCAAATGAAATAAAAGTACATAGAAATGGTAAGGAAATTGCAAAATACCATGGAAATGGTAGTTATTATTAGAAGTAGTCTTGATTTCCAGAAATTATGCTCTTCTATTTTGGAGAGGCCTTATTCTAAAGCTCGAGTTCTTCATTACTACATCAGAAAAAGACACTTATGCAGAAATCATACATATGATGACTCAGTTTTATTGAAGCCTTCTTTGTTTTTAGAAATTCATTTTTAATGGTAGCTTTAAAATCACAGTGAAATTTTAAGTACTTAACGGGACCATCAAAGTGTTTTTTTTTTTTTTTTTAAATCACTTCTGTAATATTTCATATTCGGACTAATTTCATAGGTTGAGTTAGTGGGGCACATTCTCAAGGTGAAAATCTGAAGGTGAATTCTACTTTTGTCTAACAGTGGAATAGCTTTGCTCGGCTCAGGTAAGCCTGTATATTTGAAATGTGTTTCCCCACACATTTATGAAAGCAAATAGAAAGATCTTTTACTCCAAGTGACAGGTAAATATATGACATTTTGCAGGCTCCAAAATTATTAGATTTTCTAGTCATCAAAGGTTTTATCTTATGAGTACTGACATACTAACGTATGCAAAAACAGCTACCCTGATCTTGTTCTTTGTAAACACAAGGACATTTGATTTTCCAGTACCTGATAGAATCAGTTTTGACAAACCTTGCCAAAAGAGGCCAGGCTTCATCAACAATATCAAACTGTTCAGAGATGAGTTCTCTGAAGATGTAACAGATTTATTCAGGACTCTCCTGCTAGTTTGGTGAGATCTTCATCCTTCTAATACTACCTCGGTTTGAAATTCCAAAGCCATCTTAAAGAAAATAAGATTGGCTCAGTCAGCTGGGTATGTCATAAAAATATTTAGTTTTGAAAAAGTATAGGTATACATCAGGCCAGAAATAAGGATATAATGCTGATTCTTTCCCCCTACAAACCATTTTTATAAAGCATAGTCAAGATACTTGAATTTGGGTAGTTATGTTCAGAGTTCAGGAAACCTCTTTTTTTTTTTTAAGTTGCAGAGAGTTTAACCACCTAGTCTCTTTGAACTTTCATCATTGTTAAGCTTGTCCTGTTTGAGCTGATTTATTTTTTTAGCTTCTCAAGCTCTTAACCCAGTCTGCCATTCTCTCACTGGTAACCAAAGCCCTTGCCTCCTATTTCATATCCGTGGTTGGGGCCACCAGCCATGAACCCCTCCAACTCTCTGCATTACAACCTTCCCCCATTCCCTAAACACGACGTAGCTATATTCTCATCCATGGTTACCTCCTCAAGTCTCAGAAGGATAGTGTATTTCTCCTCCTATTTAAGGAAAATTCTTTCATCTTTGCACCTAGTTTCAGCTTCTCCCTTTTCCTCTGACATCTTGATGCAGAAATTTCACCATGTTCTCTGGCTTCAGCCTTTCACTTTCTATTATATATTCTCTCACAGACTGAGCTTGTGTGAGTATTTTTTATCAATTAAAGAGAAAAGTCCTTGACCCTGCAACTCATTCTAGTTGCTGCCCCTTTGTTCTCCATCTTAAAATTAGACTTCTTGAAGAAATGCACACCTTCCATTACATCCTCAATGCACCTTAATCTGACATCATACAGCCTTCACTACACTGCTTTTCCCTGGGAACATCAGTGACTTCCGGGTTACTACAGTCAGTGCAGACGTTCCTCCTGGACTCGTGTGCATGCTGCATTATTGCCAGCATGGTGTAGCAAAAATGATGATCTGACCTTGTCACTGCTCTGCTTGAAAGTCTCCCAGCACCTACAACAGAGGTTCTCAAAACTCTGATCAGGATCCTTGGGGCAAGGTACCTCTAAATCTGTATTGTCAGGCTCCAACCCTGCAGATTCTGATTCTGTAGAACCTGCTGGGTTGGGTCCTGTGTTTTTAGGTTCCCTAAGAGATTTTGACACCTGATCAGATTGAGAAACCTCCAGCCTATCAGGATCAAGTCTGAGCCCCTCTGCCTGGTTGCACAAGGCCCTCCGTGACCTAGCTTTCGCCTAGCAGTCAGCCATATTTCCCACCATACCATGTGTGTCTACTTGTCTAGGTAACATCATCCAATTTTATGTCAATCAAGTTAGAGATTATATTTGTCAAAAGGACTTTTGAAAACGGTAACATTTTATTTAAGTATCGGCTATTATTATTTGTAATATGTTTCCTGCCATTTTAGTGGATGATGCTGGTAAAATAGAACACGACGGTTCCTCTGGAATGACCATGGATGCAGAGTCAGAAATCGATCCTTGTAAAGTAGATGGCACTTGCCCTGAAGTCATCAAGGTGTACATTTTTAAAGCTGACCCTGGAGAGGATGACTTAGGTAAGAGGAAACCTTCAGCATTGTTATACATCCTGATCCAAGCACTTCAACCTGATTACTTTTGGGTGGTTTAGATTGACAACATTTGAAATCTTTTCTGAAGATAACTTTTAAGCAAAGATTCCAATGTAGCAATGGAAAAGTATGTAAGATGTAGTAAGTGAAACAGGTGGAAATGAAATTTTTACATAAATTCTTGGAGCTATCTTCTTCTCTGATAGGTGGCACCGTAGACATTGTGGAGAGTGAGCCTGAGAATGATCATGGAGTTGAACTACTTGATCAGAACAGCAGTATTCGTGTGCCAAGGGAAAAGATGGTTTATATGACTGTCAACGACTCTCAGCAAGAAGATGAAGATTTAAGTAAGTAGGTGGCCTTTTTGTGGGAGAAAATTTGATGTTCGTGTAGCTTTTTTTTTTTTAATATGGCCAATATGTAAAGGAAACAAGTAGCTTTATTGTAGAGCTTATCATGCCATATAACAAGGGAAACATCAGTGACTCATTATGTTTGCTTAGAATGTTGCTTTAAAAACAAATTATGGTGAAAGCCAAGAAATGATTCAGTCAACAAATATTTATTGAATGCTTACTACATGAAAGCTATGTTCTAGGCATATAACATTTGAGCCTTCTTTCTACTTGTTAACTGAATTCAAATGAAAGTATCTTTTCTGTGATCTCTGTAAACCTAGTCACAACAATTTATATAATCTTCTACTTAGATGTTGCTGAGATTGCTGATGAAGTTTATATGGAAGTGATTGTAGGAGAGGAGGATGCTGCAGCAGCAGCGGCAGCAGCTGCCGTGCATGAACAGCAAATCGATGACAGTGAAATCAAAACCTTCATGCCAATAGCATGGGCAGCAGCTTACGGTAAGTCACATAGCGACTCTTAGGATTGAGATGGTTCTTAAACATGAATTCATGATTGAAAAACGGTTTCTGTGGTCTTAGGTTTGAGAATTCTGAAATACCACTACCCTGTAAGGGTTACTTGATTTGAACAAGAGTAGAGGAAGATTATAAAGGCTACTTTTTGTCTTTATTTTTAACAGGAATTTCCTTCATGTGTATATTACTTAGAAGGAAGTACTGCAAGAAGTACACAGGCTTTCAAGCTGAAACTTTTCATCTTGATTATGTCTGGCCAATGACTTTACAATTTTGGGAGACAACAAGGGAGTCCATGGGGCAAAATGCTGACATGTTTTTTAGATTTGGAAGCTAGGCATTTCCTACGGTCTTGCTATAGTAAATGTCATAAAACCCATTACCTAGAATGGGGAATTTCTGTCATTCATGAGTATCATGGCTTACTTTTCATTGTTATAGTTAGTAAACAATCCCTAATTCTTTATAATTTATAATACTGTATAATTTTGTTTTTTAATACGCATTGTTAGGTAATAATTCTGATGGAATTGAAAACCGGAATGGCACTGCAAGTGCCCTCTTGCACATAGATGAGTCTGCTGGGCTCGGCAGGCTGGCTAAACAAAAACCAAAGAAAAGGAGAAGACCTGATTCCAGGCAGTACCAAACAGGTGAGGGCGCACGAGTCCACAGCGCAGCGTGCTTTGCGAGCTCTCAGATGAAACTCTAGTATGTATCCGCAGAGGTGTTGTGATGACATTTTAGCTGCTAGACCACGTGTAACTTTCGTGTATTGAATTTGAAAATATAATTTTAAGAATTCAGTGATATTCATGAATGATTTCCTTGGATAAAAAGTAACAGGAAATGGATCAAACATGGATGAAAAAATTCAAAATTTAGGTTATTTTACGTGGAAATGAAAAGAAATCCCTCAAATATGTTGCAGTGTTAACTTTTTAAAACTAAATTAATATATTTAAGAATCTGATTATGTCAGCATAAAGCAGGCATAATTTACAGAGCAGCAGGACAAGTACTTCAGTTCATGTGACATATTCCTGTCTATTCTTGTATGCCGATTTACATATTAAAATTTAAGCTTTACTATAAGTTGACATAAATTATTTTTTAGAATAACCAAAGCAGAAATTGTGATTACAAAACTTTATTTTTATGAATAATTTCCCACCGATTTCTAAATTGGTATAGCTTCAATTACTAGTTGATAGAAGTTACATATTTATTCATTTATTTTTTTAAACTGGAGGGAGTGAGATTGGTGCAGTCATACTGAATGAAGTTTCCAGACCAGGTTCTCTTTATGATGAGGTTGCGCTCTCTCTTATGTTGAAAAATGGTAAAAAGAATATTAAGTAGCAAATAGCCTAACTTAGGAGTACTTGTCCAATAATGTTCAGAACACACACTTTAAATGCTTGAAGAAACCAAAACAGAACTTGATTTGATCACTCATGCTCCTTTCCTTTCCTTTCTTAGCAATAATTATTGGCCCTGATGGACATCCCTTGACTGTCTATCCTTGCATGATTTGTGGGAAAAAGTTTAAATCGAGAGGTTTTTTGAAAAGGCACATGAAAAACCATCCTGAACACCTTACCAAGAAGAAGTACCGGTGTACTGACTGTGATTACACTACCAACAAGAAGATAAGTTTACACAACCACCTGGAGAGCCACAAGCTGACCAGCAAGGCAGAGAAGGCCATTGAGTGTGATGAGTGTGGGAAGCATTTCTCTCATGCTGGGGCTTTGTTTACTCACAAAATGGTGCATAAGGAAAAAGGAGCCAACAAAATGCACAAGTGTAAATTCTGTGAATATGAGACAGCTGAACAAGGGTTGTTGAATCGCCACCTTTTGGCGGTCCACAGCAAGAACTTTCCTCATATTTGCGTGGAGTGCGGTAAAGGTTTTCGGCACCCGTCAGAGCTCAAAAAGCACATGCGAATCCATACTGGGGAGAAGCCGTACCAGTGCCAGTACTGCGAATATAGGTCTGCAGACTCTTCTAACTTGAAAACGCATGTAAAAACTAAGCATAGTAAAGAGATGCCATTCAAGTGTGACATCTGTCTTCTGACTTTCTCAGATACCAAAGAGGTGCAGCAACATGCTCTTATCCACCAAGAAAGCAAAACACACCAGTGTTTGCATTGCGACCACAAGAGTTCGAACTCAAGCGATTTGAAACGACACATAATTTCAGTTCACACAAAGGACTACCCCCATAAGTGTGACATGTGTGATAAAGGCTTTCATAGGCCTTCAGAACTCAAGAAACACGTGGCTGCCCACAAGGGTAAAAAAATGCACCAGTGTAGACATTGTGACTTTAAGATTGCAGATCCATTTGTTCTAAGTCGCCATATTCTCTCAGTTCACACAAAAGATCTTCCATTTAGGTGTAAGAGATGTAGAAAGGGATTTAGGCAACAGAATGAGCTTAAAAAGCATATGAAGACACACAGTGGCCGGAAAGTGTATCAGTGTGAGTACTGTGAGTATAGCACTACAGATGCCTCAGGCTTTAAACGGCATGTCATTTCCATTCATACGAAAGACTATCCTCACCGTTGTGAGTACTGCAAGAAAGGGTTCCGAAGACCTTCAGAAAAGAACCAGCACATAATGCGACATCATAAAGAAGTTGGCCTGCCCTAACAGTACTTCTGCAGACGTTTGTAGAGATGTTGGCCTTGAAGCAGAAAATTCATTTTAAAGCCAATCAGTCTCGTTCACATACAATACTGTATATTGATTTATGCTGTGTACAAATAGAATTATTGCTTCTAGTTGACTTTTTTTTTACATTTTGTTCAATAGTGTGTTCTGAATTCTATTCAGTTTGTTTAATAAATGGGGAAAAGCAGCAACAAGCGAGTTGCTTTTAATAAAGTAATCCCTGATTCTATACTGAATTTTTCTATCTTAGAAGTTTTATATTTATTTAAATATTTACCTTGCTTACCTTGATGGTACTCTTCTAAGACCATTTAACTTAAAGTTAAGGTAACTTTAGATTGGTAACTCTGAAAGTATTCATGTTGACTCTTTTTTTTTTCCCATAAATTTCTCACAATAAAATTGTCAGAGACATCTACTAACATAAATGGGAGATTTTACGGTCAGATCTAATTAATCTAACACGAAAGTCATTTTCTTGTCTTGCTTATATTTTCAGACCACATGACAATGACAGTTTCCATTTGAGCTTTTGCACCCCTGGCATCACTGAGTCAAGAGCAGTGGCTGGGTTCGTGTTTACTTTTCATTTTGTTTATCAGACAAAATACACTTATTTGGGGGCTTTCTTTGGAGTATTTACATCTTTTGTCAGCATAGCAAACTTTTAGAAAACTTTATTGAAAAATTTTGCTTGATCCTCTTGTATTTTGATCATTCTGTCTGTGCTGCCTTGTCTTGGAATGGTTGTGTGCTACAAATGAGACTTATTGAGGACTGCATTTTGAAATCTCCTAGAGGTTATTCATGGCGTAGGATCTTTTGCAACTTTATATATGTAAATGTACCCTGAATTATATATATGCACATATATATAACATGTATCTGTGTGTATTGCTTACTTACATATTTATACACACAACCCCAAGTAGTAGTTGTTTAAAATCTATAATGAAAAGTATTAAATTTACAATAACATGAAAGATGCAGGGATGCATGAGAGAGCATTTTGTATATCATGCTCTTCAGAGAGACTACTCAGGTGAAGAATTAGAAGGAAAATAAGGACACTAGTATTTTTAAAGAATAAAGGTATTTTCTTTTAAATATCTTTGGTAATTGAAAAATAGAAGTTAAGATGTTTCTAGATAGAATGTTTTCATACAACTTCAGCTCCATGCCTTTATATTTTTCTGAAAAGCTAATGAGTATCCAGACATAACTCCCTCAGTTCTCTCTGAGAAGCCCATGAGGGAATTCTTTGTCACCAAGTGAGGAGGACTAAGGAAGCGATGGCTTCATGTACCAGAGAATGTGTGCTGATTATGACACACTTGGCAAGTTCAGCCTGCTCTGCTATTTCTTAGTTACAGTTAGCAAACTTTAAAAAACACTCAAGTTGGCTTTGATTAGAAGATAAAGGTGTGTTTTAAGTGCATGAGGAAAATCTGAGGCCTTATTTGGAATATCATCAAGTCTTTCACAGTTTTGTTTTTCTTTGAGAGTTGACATTTTTTAACAAATAGTTCTGAATCAGGGTCATAAATTCATAAAATGAACTCTTGTTAAGTAGAATTTGTTTATGTTAAGATGAATCTTGGAGAATAGAAAACAGTTTTGGGGTCCCTTAAATTGGCTGTTGGCACATGAGTATCTGGCACGTCGTGGGAGATTTGGGAGTTTTCTTCCCACTTGTTAGCTGCCTTACCACTTCATTATGGAACTCTTATCTTCATACAGTTAGGTTTTTACCTTTCATTCTTTTTGCCATCAATACTTATATTCAAAAGTAGGGTTAGAGATCTAAATATTTGGTGTTTGGCAAGCCTCTAAAGTGCTAGATTGATTTAGTCCAGTTCTAAATCAAGTGCTTTAGGCTGGTATGGGCTCCAGCCTGAATGCCAGTCAAAGCCAAGACATAGACTTATCCCAGTGGGAACATGCCCCCATAACATGCCCTTTTTTTTAAAGTAACTTACAATTATGTGATTCATTGCCCTGCAGTGCTATTCTTGAAAGCTCTGTCTGTTTTTTTGTGAGAACCTTTAAAAATCTCCCTTTTTATTTTTCCTAGAAATAATGTAAAACACTTAAATGGAAGTGGAAATTTATTAATTTTAAAACGTCTTGTAAAGTTAATACAGAAAATATGAATAATTGGTCATTTATATTTTTTTAAATAAACTGAAAGATAAAGAACACAACACTTTACACACTTTATATTTCTCTTACATAGTCTGGAATCATACACAGTTCTTTTCTTTTTAAAGCACAATATTGAAACCTTTAAAAGGTATTTAAGGGTTTGGTCAAGTGAATATGATAAAATGTATTTGTCTGTATAAAGAGAAAATGAAATTGTAGTCACTGTTATGTACTGACATTAGTTACAACCTAGTTTTAATTCTTAAAACAATTTTGATTAGCAAAGCTAAAAAAAATGGATGTTTCAGTTAAATGTTTTAAAGAGGTACAGATTTTTACAAGGACATAATATAAGTTATTGTTCTGTAGAAATATCCTATTAAATATTGTATGTCCCTCCCTCTGTACACTTTGTAAAAAAAGTAAAATACATAAAAAGAAAATCATATAGGGATGTGTGACATTATTGTAATTGTGTACTTGAGAATAATGTGCAAAAATAAAAATCAGAATATTTTCCTGTCAATGAATGTTTAGTCTATTTGATACCAGTACTAAGTTAATGCTTTTTCTTAAGAAAAAAAATGTACAGTTTTTGTAAACCTAATAAACATCAAAAGCAGTGTATTATTTTATTTCCCCATTTCTTAATTCCTTTTATGCAGCAATGGAATGCAAAATGCTTGATTGCTTTGAATTTTGTGACTTGGATGCAAATACTGATAATATTTCAGCCCTGCGAATTTGCAAGTAATATTTCAGAGAAGTTAAGAGGTGATTGGTGAGTCCTTTGATGAGCATGTCCTTGAAATTTATTTTTTCTTTTATCTTCATAAAAGATTTGTTTTATTAGCATCTCCAATTCCCCTGAGATAAATTTCCAATGCGTAAAGTGGTTTTTGAGAGCACTTAAAGTTCATATCAGTATCAATCCGCAGAACGTTTAATCAGTGGGGGTTGTCCCCACCTTCGCAGCAGAAGCCCTGCCCTGGAGTTACCCCTTTGTATCCAGTTTGAAGGGCTTGAGCAGATGCTAACGTACTAGAGATGGTCATTGTCATAATGAAAATTGAAAGTTAGGTAAAAGTTATCAGGAGTCCGAATAGCAAGATAGGTTTGAGCCATCTTTGATTTTTAAAGATGAGATCCTGCAGTTATTTAGCTATGTTGGAACAAGGGTTTGCCTGTTTGTTGGAACAGTAAATAATCAACACTTGAGGTAAACCATCAAGAGAACATGGCGAACATCACTGTTGAGAGCCATAAATCAGACAAAACCATAGCATGCTGAAAAACTTAGTTGTAATAGAATGCCTGACAGATAACATCTTACCAGTCTGTGATCCCAGCCAGTCAGATAATGTACTGCTCTGTTCTCTGGGGATGTCAATAATGTCCTTTATTTCTCTATTCTCTATCCTTTATTCTGGGATTCATGTAAGGAAAAGCTTAACCAGTCAAAATCTTAAAGGGGTGATATTTCAGAGCAGTGGTTTTCTTTCAAAGTGTGGTTGGGCAGCAGCGGCAGCATCATGATCACCTGGGACTTTGTTGAAGATGCAAATTCTCAGCCCCGCCCCAGACCCACTGAATTAGGAAACTGGGCGTGGGACCCGGTGATCTGTGCCTTAGCGTGTCCTCCAAGTGATTCTGATGCATGCTCACGTTGGGAAACACTGTTTTAGAGCACTCGAGGAACTTAAAAGATTACTGGTGCAACATTTTGTGTGGTAGACAAGAAAATCATGCACACACACACACACAAAAAACCCCAGAAATAAACAGTGAAGATGAAATGGGACTTGGACAGTTTATACCTTCGATTTACCCCTTTTAAAGTGTGAGTCTGCCAGTCAATAAGTATATCCTTTGGTACCCATGTAAATGGCCTGTACTTCATAATCTTGTATGGCCTCCTCTAGGTTACATTCCTCAAAGGTAAATAGAGTTCAGAGGAAGATTCAGCAAGTAAAAGAGAAGGGCTGAAAAGTGTGTGTGTGTGTGTTTAATTAATTGGCCCAACGTTACTTAAGTAATTCATATCTGAGAAACCATTTTACCACATTCTTAAGCTGTTTAGATAAGGTCAAAATTAAGTTTGCCCGTTTAGATTTTGTTTTATCTTTTGTGTATATATTGTTTGCCATTTTCATAAAATAACTCTTGGGTTTGTTATATATTGTTCCTGTTATTTTTGACATCTTTGCTATTGTTGTAAATAAATTCCTATTTTGTTTTAAGTTACCCTAGTGGAGTGTTGGCTATAGAAAAGGCACACCCGCGCGCGCGCACACACACACATAGAGAAATGAGGAAGCTTAAATCACAGTTAATAAATCCCCAGCACGGTACATGCATGGTATAATGCAACCCCTTGAGTAGTTCCGCACTTCTAGCACTGATGCAGTATCACTATTGCATATAGATATGGCATCTGCACCTACTCGGACTTTAAAATCATTTTCATGACCTCTTGAGATGGAAATTCTTAGTCTACCAAGTTTTAGGTAAAATTCAAGAATTATTTTCCTTTACTTGGTTTTTCCTATTCGCTTGGTCTCTTGTGTTACTTGTATTGCTGGTATTGGTGAACACAAAGGATTTGGCATTGTAATGACCTGCTGATATTATAAAACCTCTAGGATACTTTGCTACAGAAAACCTACTTAGAAATTTTAGGTGGGATTTATTCATGCATGATGTGAATTACCACAGAAATGTCTAAACGCATTGACGAAAATAGAATAACTAGACCCATATTATTTCGCTTTCTGAGAGAGGCTAGTTTCTGCTTTTCCTTCATGCTTGTATTTGGCTTTAAATGCAGAACCCATTTCCTTTGGCCTGAGCTTCTTTGAAATAAGGGGAGGTATTGCAGAGCCATCTGTTGGGGTTTTGGTGGTTCTAATTATACCCATCCTCCTCTCTGGTTTCTAACCACATTGAAAATAGACACAAGAAACCACCAGTTGAGTGTGTGACTTCATCTAGTGAATCTGGATTGGGAGACACAGAGGCCAAATCTACTTCCCCCCAATGCAGGCCTTGACTGATGCAGCCAGTCACTTGAAGGTGTGGCGCCCACTTTACGTTCCGTGAGCTATAGAGTGACTGCTTGGTCTCCTACCACAGAAATGGAGCAAGTGGGAGAGAATGGCCACAGCATCCTCCCTAACCCTCCCAGGCTGGGACTCCAGGAAGACGGAGAAGATTTCCTTAGGCCATCCTCATAAAATAAGGATTAGTCCAATTCTGGGTTGCCCTCCTGCATTAGCTCACTAGCAAAGTGTAAGGTTTTTACCTTTAGCCTTGCATATTCATGTCCGTTTTCCTTTACTCACTTTTACTGCCCCCTCTTAAGGTGGTGGTTGTGACAGACTTCCAATGGTTTGGTCCCTGTTTCTTCCAGGGTGGTATACTTTAATTTTTCTTCAGAAAAAGAACTTTTTTTAAAGAGCAAATTTACTTACTATACAAAGACAGAAACTTTGCAAGTTATTTTTATTGCTTGTTTTCATAACAAAATTTGGAAAAATGATCACCCACGGTGCCACTTGCTTTATTAAAGGCATTGTTCATCTTTGTGCTTTTCCAGTTTTAGTCCATATGCATAAATCTTTTATCCGTCTTGTGACTACAGCATTGATTCTATTCTATGTTCAGCGATTTTCTTTTCAAACATCAAGTACTTCCATATCTATTGGTTGCCTTTAAAACATTTTTAATGCACATTCTTTTTATAGAGAATATGGAAAATTCAGAATGTTACAGAAAAGAAAGTAAAATGCCTTCCCCCCTCAATCCCATTACCCAGAACATTATTATCCTTTTAAAAATGTCTTTACTGAGTTTTAATTTTATTAGATTTTTCAATTGCAAAATACATGTTATTGTAAAAAATGTTGTACAATATAAGTATAAAGACAATGATCTCACCCCCACACTTCCTCCAAGCCAATTTCCTTGAGGTAATCATAGTTAACAGACTGTATGCCTTCCCCCCGTGTTCATACAAACCTGTACAAAGATACATGAAGTGAGCAAGAGGAGACTTGGGGAGACTTCAAATTTTTTGACCAAAATGAGGTTATGCATCTTTGCAAGTCACTTAATATATGATATCCATGCCTCTGGGACAGTAGACTGAGCTCTACCTCATTCTCTCTCTTTTTTTTTTTTTTGTGAGGAAGATCAGCCCTTAGCTAACATCTGTGCTAATCCTCCTCTTTTTGCTGAGGAAGACCGGCTCTGAGCTAACATCTATTGCCAACCCTCCTCCTTTTTATTCCCCAGGGCCATTCCCCAGGGCCCCAGTAGATACTTGTATGTCATAGTTGCACATCCTTCTAGTTGCTGTATGTGGGACGTGGCCTCAGCATGGCCAGACAAGCGGTGCGTCGGAGCGCGCCTGGGATCCGAACCCGGGCTGCCAGTAGCGGAGCGCGTGCACTTAACTGCTAAGCCACAGGGCCGGCCCTACCTCATTCTCTTTAATAGTTAAATAACTTTCCAGAGATTGGACCCACCATCATTTAGTCAACCATTCCCCGTTTTTTGTTTTTTTGGTAACCATTTGAGTTTATTTTTTTTGTGGTTTACATATTCTCTTTTTTTTATTGATGTTTTAATAGTTTATAACACTGTGAAATTTTGGGTTGTACATTTTTGTTTGTCCATCACCATATATATGTCTCCCTTCACCCCTTGTGCCCACCTCCTACCCCCATTGCCCCTGGTAACCAGAATACAGTTTTCTCTGTCCATTCAACCATTCCCCTTTTGATGGACATTTAGGTTGTTTCCAGTTTTCTGCCACTGCAAGAATGCTGGAATAACTCCTTGTGCATATAATCCTTACATACTTGTGCTTCGATTTCTGTAGGATGGATTCCCCCCAGATGTGATGGCTAAGTGAAAGGATATGTGCTATTTTAAAAATGTGACTAGATATTTGCAAATTATTTTTTGTTAGAGTGTAAACTCCAGGAGTACAGGGATTTTTGTTCATTGCTGTTAACCTACAACAACACGGTGCATAGCAAGTGCTAAAGAAATATTTGTTGGATGTTGAAGTTTTTAGGGTTGTAGCATTTCACACTCCACAGCAACATATGGGAGGGCCCATTCCCCTCAGTCTTACAGTGAGTGTTAGAGCCAACATCACAGGTAAAAGAATCTCTCTATAGATGCCATCATTGTTTTAATCTGCTTTGACCTGACTCCTAGTGGAGTTAAGTAATACCTTCATATGCCTAATAGCCCTTTGCGTTTTCTCTTTGATGAATCACCTGTTCAAATCCCGTGCCCCATTTTCTATTTAGAGTCTTTTGTACATTGGGCCTATTAGCTTTCTAATACATTTGCTGCATAGTTTTCTAGTCTATGATTTATCTTGTTATTGTTTATATATACAAAAATCTTTAATATTTATGTAATCAAATATGTTTATTTTTTTCCCTTTATGATTCCTGGGGTTTCTTGTCCTACTTAAAAAGGTCTTTTCTGCCCTAAGTTTCTACAAATATATGCCTAGATTTTCTTGTGATATTTTTATTGTTCTAATTTTGTTTGGACTTTTATACAGTTAAAATTATTTTGGTATATGTTGTTTGGTAGGGGGTCTTTGC